CATACATGGTTTTTGATTTTATAGGCTTCAAACCCATCCCCCTCGATGTATTTCCAGACCCTATCTCTCGCCAAGGCCTTGGTTAATGGATCCGCAATATTATCACAAGATCTTACATAATTCACAGTTATTTGATGCCATTACTCAAATAGGATCTCCACATTACTGTGTTTCCTTCTAATAGGTCTGGATTTACCATTATAAAAATGATTGTTCACTCTACCAATAGCAGCAGTGCTATCACAACGAATTAACACAGGAGGAATTGGTTTTTCCCAAAAAGGAATTTCATATAACAAATCTCTCAACCAATTCGCTTCCTCACATGCTGAAGCTAATGCTATAAGATCAGCTTCCATTATAGAATTTAGCAATTATCGTCTGTTTTTTAGACTTCCAACATATAGCACCACCACCCAAGTAAAAATAAAACCCGAGGTAGAGAGAGAATCACCTGACAAAGTGTTCAATCGGCATCACTATATCCCTCAAGTACCGCAGGATACTTGTTATAACAAAACCATAATTTTTTGTTCCAAATAAATATCTCATAATTCTTCCCATGGCTAGCCAATGATCTCAACTTGGTTTGCTAGTAAACCTGCTAAGTACTCCAACAGCATATGCAATGTCAGTCTAGTACAGTCAGTAGCAATTTTCTACAACATCTACCAATCATGCTAGCATATATTCCTTTTTGATTAACCACTTCTTTTTCATTTGTTACAAGAGACATGTATGCTTGCATCAAAAGGAGTAGCAACATGTTTACAGCCTAGAAAATTATATTTCTTTAAAATTTTCTCAACATAATTGCGACTGATCAAGAAAAATGCCATCCTCAGTCTTGGTAATTTTAATTCCCAAAATAAAATTATTCACCAAGATCTTTCATATCAAAATGGCTATTAGGCATATTTTTAGTCTCATTTTAATATGCAAATTAGAAGCCAAAAGATAAGTAGATCATCCACATATAGGCTAATAATCACATGTGCATTCTCACAAGTTTTATAATATATGCACTTATCACATTCATTAGTCTTATAGCCATTCTCAAGCATGCAGGAATCAAATTTCTCATGCACTGTTTAGGAGCTTGTTTTTAACCATAAAGGGATTTAGTTAGCTTACACACTTTGCTTTCTTGCCAGGCTCCACAAAGCCTTCAGGTTGGTCCATGTAAATTTCCTCATCTAGATCTCCATTTTAAAAATGCTGGTTTTTACATCCATTTGATGAATTTTTAAATCATGAATTGCAGCCACTGCAATCAACAGTCTAATGGATGTTACTCTAGTAAACCGGAGAAAAAAGTATCAAAGAAATCAAGATCAACTTGTTGCTTTAAAACCTTTAGCGACAAGCCTCTCTTTATATTTATCATATAGTTCCATCGGTTTAAGTTTTACGAAGACCATTTACATCCCAATAGTTTTACAACCTGCGAGGTAAATCACTAACTTCCATGTTTTATTTGATAGTAGTTGAGTCTATCTCAATCATTTACAGCCCTTTCCAGAAAATCGCATCAGGTGATAATAAAGCTCTTTGTACCGTATGAGGAATTTCTTCCACATGTGTAAAGATAATAGTTCAGGGCCAAAATCTTTTTCACTCTAGCTCGTTACTTCTTCTGGTTGAAGTTGAAAATTTTCTTTTTCTTTGAAAAACCTTGAGAAGGCATAGTAGAAGAGCTAGGCATAGATAAAATATTTTCAGATATTATTGACCCCCACTATTTCTAGATTTGAAAGGAAATTTATTTCATGAAAAATAGCATCCCTGATTCAAAAAATAATATTATTTGTCCATATCAAAAATCTATAAGCTGTACTATGCAACGCATACCCAGAAAAGCACAAGTGGTAGCTCGTCTCCACCATTATAGGTCGTTTAGGATCTGCAAGCCTCACAAAAAGCTAACAACCCCAAACCCTCAAATAACCTAAATTTTGGTTTATGCCCTCGCCACAACTCATAAAGGACAATTTTAGTCTTTTTGTGTGGCACTCTATTATCACATGGCAAGCTTGTCAAATAGCCTCTCCCAAAAATTTGAGACGTACCTGAATCAATAAGCAAAGCATTCGATCAAAGTCAATTAACGTTCTATTTTTTTTCTTTCAGCTACGCATTTGATGAAGGTTGAATATGGTGGAGTAGTCTCATGAATACATTCCCAAATGATGAACAAAAAGAGTTGAATCCTAGAGATTCATACTCCCGGCCTCTATTCACTTCTAATTCTTTTAATCTTTTTACGATTTGATTTTCCACTCAAGAAGGAATTCTTAAATTTCTCAAAAGCATCACTTTATTTTTAATAAATATACGTTTGTATATTTTTGAAAAAATCATCATAAAAAGTGATAAAAATACTCGGTTTATCACCCCGAGTTTAAAACTCCTCAAACTACGCAAATCAGTATGATAATTCTAGCAATTCGTATTTTTTCAACACTTTTATGAGGCCTCTGGTAATTTTTGCTTTACTGCAAACTTCACATGTTCAAAATTTTTTGTCCTTAGGAATTTAAATTCCATCTCTCTTTCTACTTTATATCCTTGTCCTACTATACAATCTAAAAATTTTGCCCATCTTCTAGTACTTAATTTACGTTCGTTAAGTTTATTATGAAATCTAACTATAGCTTCACAGTCTGTTCTAATTGTAAAGGGCTTGTGTAAAAATAATCTAAATTTGTTTATTGCATATATTATTCTTAATATTTCAAAAT